GTACGACACAACATCTATTATACATAAGACGATGTCCACACATGCACAATAGAAAGTCTATGCATTTTGAAGATTTCACTAACCTTGTTCAATAGAAATGACAAGTTAGGCAAATCATACATGACACAACATCCACTATGCAGAAGATGATGTCCGTGTATACTTAATAGAAAGTCTATGAATTTTCAATATTAAGAAGGAGAATTACATCAGATATGAAAAATTTTATGTTGGTACTAGCTTAGGTACTAAAACAAGTACCCACATGAAATTTGACATGATATTTCAAGTTTGATATATATAAAAAGTTAGCCACTATATCCAAAACATCTAACAATTGTTTCTTTATATAAAAACAAAAAATATCTGTCATTCCCAATTACTTAAACAACATTACTTAGGAATGCTTTCATATACATAATTATTATTGCCTATGTACACCAGAGAAATATAATGTGACTACTCCTCATGCTAAGTTAGGATTCTTACATGTCTTGCGACTATATCTGGCCTCCCCATGTCTTGAACAATAATAAATCTTCTTATCTTGAAATTGAGACTCTATCTTCCTTGTTTGTAGGAAAACAATGTACAACATAATATCCACTATGCACAACACAAGGTTCATATATTCTCACCTGAAAGTCCATGTCATTCCAATTTATCATTAGGCTAGGCTTAACAAAAGGAATGCTCAAGTTAGGCAAATATGGCACAATATAATATCTGCTACGCACAACACAAAGTTCCTATATTCTCACCTGAAAGTCATGTGATTTCAATTTATCATTAAGCTAGGCTTAACAAAATGCACAACTCAATATTTGCAAAAACAATTGAAAGTTTATTTTTGTACAACAAATACTTCAACATTTTTGATAGAAGATTTTTTTCATATTGGATTATATTTTATTCAGTTCACATGTAAAAGTTCAATATAAACAAGTCAACCATCATTATTGTACAACAATTAATCCATTCTAAAACTTTTGTGGCCAAAATAGTTTAGCAACCTTTACCTCATATTAGTAGTAGAATCACAAATAAAATTTCAATCTCAACAACATCACATTATAGTTTGTACAATAAAAAGTCCATCTCATGTGCACCCTACTACTTCATGTAAAACCCCATTAAATGCTTCCATTAAATGAATTGCTACATATTGAATGGGTGAATATCACCTCTGTTACCATTTCATCAGCAGCTGACATGCAGCAATGACAAACCTTAAACTATTTCTACAGCAAAAATGGATGCTGCTCATTTTTTTAGCAAGAACAATAATAATCTCAGCTCACTTCTACATCAAGAATGTGAGAAACCTAAAAACGTCTAGCTGAGATCTTGAAATCATCAGAAGCACTGCTGAATATGGATGAATTTTGAAATCTATGCATCTCGAAAGTTACTCCGCCCCAATAGAGCTCAGAAATCTTCCCATCCTCCAGTTGAATACCCATTATCGTGTTTGTCATCCTCGTTCTACATTTAATTTTATTTCTTCCTATTAAGGGCAAAGTAGTATTTTTGGTCTGAAAAAATATTACAATTAGGGCCCTAAGGCTTGTAGAGAAATTTTAGAATAATTCAGGTCCTAAGTGTAATAAACTCTATTTTTAAGGCCCTCAATACCATTCCCCCTAAAAAAAATTAATAGGGTTTTATTTTATTTTAGCCTAAGTAATCTTCTGTTAATTAGGATTCTGTTTCGTTTAGTTAGTTAAAACAATTAATTTAAAAAAGTTAAAAATTAAAAAAATATTTTTTCTTAAATTTTAATAATTAAGAAAATCTAGGATTAAGAAAAGATTTTTCTATTTTAGATTATCTTTCTTTTTTACAAAAAATAAAAAAGTCAATCAAAATTTAAAAATGGTAGTTAAAACAAACCTAACAAAATCCTAAAAATTAATTAAATAAAAGTTTCTTTTGAATTTTAATAAAAAATTGAGGTTTGAAATAAAAGATCCTTCATTTTAAATTAAAGTAATATGTGTGTGTGTGTGTGTATTTCATTTTTTTTAAAAGAAAAGGGTTATAAAAAAGAAAAAAAGCACCGAAGGATTAAAGTTTTTTGGTTCATTATGCAAACACACACGCGCGAAAGAAAACACAGAGAGAAGAGACGCACGCAAAAGAAGAGTAGAAGAGTAGAGAAAAGGGGAATACACAAGCTTCAGAAGTCTACTTCCCTGCTTCTACTTTTGGAAAACGTCTAAGTTGAGGAAGAAGAAAAAGACCAAATTCATATGTTGAAGAAAGGTGGCGTTGCAGAGGAAATTCGGCGCTATGTGAGGAAGGAAAAGCGAAATCAAGTCAGAGTTTGTAGATTCACACTACCCAGGTATTTATTTATTTATTTATTTTTTTCCCTTCTAGTCTTCGATATAAAGGGAATGGCTGGAGATTTTTTGAAAAGAGGGGACAAAGGTGGGAGCGATTTTTTGAAGAGCAGAGTTTTGAGAGCTTTGAGAGAGAGAAAACTAAGAGAGCACGAGAGAATTTGAGGCAGAGAGAGTTGAAGGCAAGAGGATGATTGAGAGCTAGAGGAAGGAAGCAGAACATGGCAGAGGGAAAGACCAAATGTTCAACAAGGAAGAAGGAACAATTGAGTATGTCCATCTCTGTCAAAAGGTTCAAAGCCAATCTTGAGTCTGATTTAATAAATATTTTGATTTCTGGACTATCTCTATATCCTATTTCATAGCGTTTATGTTGATGTTGAGATGCACAAATGGATTTGTACAGATATTGCCTAAACATAGAAATCCCTTTGTTCTTTTTCGGTCATGAATTTGAATGGATATATGGATTAAAAGGTTGAAAACACACTTCCTTTGATATTTATCAAAGTTGTTTGCTGTGGATTGATGATTGTTAGGTACATATTGCTCTGGATTTTGATAAATTGTGTGTACCTGTCATTCTTGAGATTTTAGTTGTTGGAATCATTCATTCTTGAAATTTTTATAGCTTAAGATAAAGGACATTTATGTGGCCTTGATTTCTGTGATGAGGTTACCACTGTTATGAGTATGAAAGTCTTTGCCTTGATTCCTAGATTTACTTGTCTTTATTTCTTGGTTCTGTTTCTTGACTTCATGGATTTTTATGTACTGTTGTAGATGTTATTTTGACCTGAAATTTTGTACCCAACCTATCCTTAAAGTCTGGTTTGAGGCATAAAATTTTCATGATTTTTAGATCTAATTTTCCTTGTTAAGTATGCTGAGTTTTAAAGGCTGGTTGAGAAACTTTCTGTCACCCTGATAGCTCACTTTGTTGATTTTTCTCTAGCTGTACCTAGGTAATCCTTGCACGAAATTTTGGATAAACATTCCTCTTCTTGTTTTGTTTGATGTATAAAATTTTCATGACTTTTGAAGCCCATTTGCGCGGTCAAATATGCTGGTTTTGGAACTGATCATGAAAATCTTTCCTTTATCAGTTCATTATAGCTTGAGTAATGTGTTTTTATGTGCTGATACAGAGGTGAATTTAGTCCGAAATTTTGTATCCATGACCCTCTCTAACTGTTGCTTGAGACATAAAATTCTTAGAATGTTTAGATCTCATTTATCCATTCAATTACATCTAAGAGTCTGTTGATAAACCTCATGTTAATTTTACAGCTTAATTGGTGAATTTTTTTCTTCTTGTACGAAGGCACTTTTGAGCTAAATTTTTGTATCTATATTTCTTTACATGTGCAATTTGATGTGTAAAATTTGCAAGATTTTTAGAGTTCCTTTGTTTAATCAAATACAATAAATTTTGCATGATAGGCAACATAACAGGGATATTCTTGAACAACCAATATCGCAAAAGAAAATTAAAATCCTCATAAAATGATCTTCTACCATGTAAATTAATAAGATTTTGCAGGTATGAAGATCCAACTTGTATATATTAATATGGGTTTCAAAAGCCCATTATTAAAATTAACTCTTTTTTTATATATAATTTAAATCAATAAAATATTTAAGTCTAATGAGAGATTTCAAGAATCTTCATAGTGATATAAATTAAGTACATCATCGTGTGGGATAATAAATCCTTGCAGATGATATGATTATCACCTTGTATATACTAAATAAATAAATTATTTTTGTAAATAAAATTATAAACTTTTTTAATAAAATTAATTAATCAAATTAAGGTATTCAATCTTTTAGTCATGAGATTTTTGAATATCCATAACCTCTAGAATAATCGTCTTATCATGTAAGTCAATAAAGCTTTGCAGATATAACGATTAAAATTTCTATATTTAAAAATATAAGTTATATAATTACACATTAAAATATATTTAAAATAAATATATTATTTAATCCTTTATTGTATGAGGATTTTGAATTTTTGCAAATATTTAGGATAATTATATTACCATAAAAGTCAATAAGACTTTGTACGTATGATGATTAAGAGTCTCTTAAAAAAGTATATATGTATGAACATTCTAAAAATAATAATATTATTAATATTTAAAATTTTAAGTAAATAAATTAAGTTGTTAAACTCTTTTATCGTGTGAGATTTTGAAATCTCCACAGATATATAGAATAACTGTATTACCGTATGAGCTAATAAGGCTCTGCAGGTATAGTAACTAAATTCTCAATCATAAAATATAAAAAAAATATAAACTCTTTTCTTTTCTTTATTTCAAAAATTTAAAAAATAATTAAAATTAAATTATTTTTTTCAATTTAAAACATACATATCAAAATTTTAGAAAATTGTTTTATTTGTAAGATGGTGAATTACTTCTAATTAATTTCTCTTCAAAAAAATATTTTCACCAACAACTTTTAATCTCGAACTACGTGAACTTTGATTCCAATCGCAGGGTACTTAGCCCTTAGAGTTTGATTCTGAGTCAAGTCTTTCCTTGTAAATAAATAAATATTTTTTACTTAATTATTATCATTTTTTTAAAACACGTGAATAAGAAAGAGATAATTAAAAGAACTGTAAAGCCATATTAATTTAGCATAATGAATTTTAAGTAACCGTTCTCACGAACGGGTGTTGTGGGGTACCTAACACCTTTCCCACACTCAATTGACTCTCAAACCTATTTTTTAATTTCGCAAACCATCCTTAACTCCTTTAAATGATTTTTCAAGATTTTCTTCAAAATTTTGGTGGCGACTCCCATTTCTTTAGTCTTCTTTCTGAAGGCCAGAACCTTTTCTTGCGCGCACTATCCGTGTCGCATTTTTGGGTGTGACAGTTGGTGACTCTGCTGGGGATAGTTGGGAAGTCAAGCCTATATAAGTTTGTTGTGCTCAAGATATAATCTGATTTTTCTTTTTATTATTATTATTATTCCTTTTAATTTGTGTGTGCTTTTCCCCCCTCTTTTTCTCTTCTCTCTCTCTTTTCATTTTTTATAACATGTCTTAGGATAGATAACATGTGGAATAAATCTTAGGATAGAAGACTTTTATTTGTACATATATTTATCTCTTTGTTTGATCTGATTAGTAGATGAGGGTTGGGCAACATTAGGAATAAGATGACAGGCTTGCATACTCTCTTCACACACTGTACACTTACACAATTCGACACACAAATATTTTAGGCTCTATACCCGGGTCGATGATTACCATAGGTTAGTAGAGGTTGGTAGTGGTTTTCCTGAGGAGTTTTTGAACTCTCGGAGGTTACTGTGAATACCTCACCTAATCTGTTACTTACTCAATAGATTTGGTCCCTGTAGAATTTATGTTCTCGGAAGGTCAAAATTATTAAGTAAGGTCTTCACCATTTGGTGAGGGCATCTTGGGAACCTTTTTTTGACTGAATGAAAGTCTTGGATCTTAAAGGCTTAGATTGGGTGAGTGAAAATCTTGATCCTCTTCACTAAGAGCCATATTCAGGATCTTAATCTTATTTTAAGATATGTCCAGCCCTATATTAGTGATTCTCAGAATGACTAGTTAATTTCATCTATTACTAAAGAAGAACTCAAGCAAGCCGTTTTCCAACTTGGGGGATCCAAAGCTCCAGGGCCTGATGGCTTTAATAGCCACTTTTATCAATATTCTTGGGAAGAGGTCAGTGACTCTTTTTTTGCTTATTAATAATATTCTGTTCAAAGATGAAGATCCTAGCTCCCTGAATGAAACAAACTTGATTCTTATACCTAAGATTGAAAGGCCTGAAACAATTAGCCAATTTAGGCCTGTAAGTCTCTGTAATTTTGCCTTCAAAGCCCTCTCAAAAGTCTTAGCTAACAGATTCAAGGGTATTTTGGGTGACTGTGTGTCTAAAAGTTAAAGGGCTTTTGTCCCTAGCCGGCTTATTCATGATAATATCATCTTAGTGCATATGGTGTTTCATTTTTTAAAAATGCACAGAGTGGGAAATGACTGTTTCTTTGCCTTTAAAATGGATATGAATAAAGCTTTTGATCGGTTGGAATAGGATTTCATTGAGGCTGTCTTAGCCAAGATGGGATTTTATGAAACTTGGATAAAATGGATTATGAAATGTGTGATGTGTCTTGCTTTTAATATTTAGGTTTCTGGTAAAAACATTGCTCGCATTCAGCCAAAAAGAAGGGTGAGGCAAGGCGACCCACTATCTCCATACCTCTTCATAATTGCTACCGAAGTGTAATCTCTTATGCTAAGTAAGCATACTGCAAATGGTGACATTATAGGAATCAAAATTACTGATGAATGCCCAATGCTGACTCATTGCCTGTTCACTGATGACACAATTTTATTTCTTCATGTTGATAGAAAAAATTACATCATCATTAAAGGCTCCTTCAATCCTATTGCAATGCTTCAAGTCAGCGTATTAACTATGATAAGTCATCATTATTTTTCTCTGCAAATACTTCACAAGTTGGCAAGGATGAAGTTTATTGTTTCCTTCATGTTAATGTTGTGGATAATCCAGACTTATATTTGGGCTTACCAGTTTTATGGGGACGTTCAAAAGTCGCTGCTCTTGCCTATGTGAAGGACAAAGTGGGCATCAAAGTTCACAACTGGAAAAGCCAATTTCTCTCCTTTGCTGGTAGAGAAGTTATGATAAAGTCCGTAACTAACGCTATCCCTATTTACCCCATGACTTGTTTCAAATTTCCTAAGAGGACATGTACTAAATTGAACTGTCTTGTTGCTAATTTCTTTTGGGGACTGATTTTAGGAATTCCATTCATTGGAAAGCTTGGAGCAAGCTATGTGCCCTAAAAAAGGATGGGGGCTTTAGTTTTCATGACTTTATGAATTTCAATGATGCACTTCTAGCCCAAACAGCACGGTGAACATTGCAGAATCCTAATCAATTATGGGTGCAAGTTCTCAAGACAGTCTACTTTCCTACTAGTTCCTTCCTTCAAGCTAAAAAAGGGGCACGAGCCTCATGCGCTTGGAGCAGCATTTTGCAAGGTCGTGACATTCTCTTAAAAAATGCTTGTTATAGAATGGGACATGGGAAAGACATCTTGGTTTGGACTGATCCATGGGTACTTGGATTGCCTAACTTCAAGGCTGTGTCCTGTGATAGTGCTGTCATAGATAAAGCTCTTAAAGTTCAAGACCTTATTTCCAATGGGGCTTAGGATTTGCAACCCATTTTGTCTACTGCTTCGACAATCACCATTAATCAAATTCAAAAAATTCGAATACCTTTGTATCCCTCTTCAGATGTGGTTGTTTAGACTAGAGCTAATAATGGAAAATACACTGCTAAACTTGGGTATTAGTTAGAATATGACCAACATCACCCTGTGATCCTTGCTGATCCTGGCTCATCTACTGAGTTCCCGAAGACTCTTTAGAGGCATGTGTGGAATCTAAATATTCATCCTAAAGCTAAGCATTTCATGTGAAGAGCTCTAAATGGAGCACTAGCAACACAGGAGGCTCTTTTCTTAAGGAAACGTGCTGCTGACCCTCTTTGCCCTTTTTGCAAATCTCAATTAGAATCTATAGAACATATGTTACTGCTATGTGATTGGTCTAGAAAAATCTAGTATGGTTCCCCTCTGATTCTAATAACTGATCCCATGCATATATCCTCATTTGCAAACTGGTGCAAATTCTTTCTAGTTGATGACAGTCCAATTACTGATTATGACAAATCTTACATAGCTTGCTTATGCTGGAATATATGGAAAACCAGGTCTACATCAGTCTTTAATGCAGCAGCTCTAAATCCCAGCCAAGTTCTAATATCAACAGCTGCAGCAGTGGATGAATTATGGAAAATTAATCACTTAGTGCAAAATATCACTGGGTCCTCTAAGGTTTTCAATTCTGTTTGGAAGCCCCCAGATTCTGGTGTTAAAATTAATTTTGATGGAGCATTTTCAAAAGCTACAAAAATGGCAGCCATTGGCATCATTGCTCGTGACAGCTCTGGGACCTTTCTTAAAGGCTGGCGTGAGGTTGTTGATGCTGATTCTAGCTTTTATCTGAACTTTTGGCTTGCTAGAAAGCAGTACAATTAGCCTCTGAATTTAATAAGGGCAAGGTTATTATTGAGCTGGATTGTCTTGATCTCTTTCGAGCCTTGATTCACAGGGATATTTCTTATTTTCCCTGTCCTGGCCTTGTCATGGGTTGCTGGAGGGTTTATTGGCTATCACAGAGTCCTTGCATTTTCTTTCCTTTTGGTTTGTCAAACGTGAAGGTAATTCTGCTGCTAATTGGATAGCAGCCTCCACTTTAAAGGATGTGGATGTGAATGGATGGGTCTTCTGTCCACCACCTCCTCTTATTTGTCTTCTTCTGAAGGATTTTGATCATTTTCAGTCTTCTTTCCAGCGTCCTGTGTTGAATCGTGATAGAGAAGGAATTGGTTGATTTGTTGTAGCTTCTTTTGTTTTGTCTTTTGCTAGGTCTTGGCCTTTTTAGCTTTTGACTATTATGTTGCTTTCGTTATTTTCTGTTTGTAAACTCTTATGCTTCCTTTAATGGAGTTTCTCTTTGGTCCAAAAAAAAAAAAAGTTCATTGATTTGATATATGCATGTGTATTATTTTATACCTCTTTGGCCACTATAATGGTCGCTTCTGATTAAGCATTTCTCTTCGGATAAGATTCTAAAATTTAGAATTTACAATATAAAATATCTTCAAATTTCATATTAAAATATAAAATATCTAGAATATATGTGAAATTTAAGAAGACAAGAAAGAATGTAAAATATCGAAAACACATAAAGAGAAATCATAACAAAAATATCATTTTGACCATAATGTAAAATGGTAGATTATGAAGAAAGTTAAATTCTTGCTGTAGCATACCTTTCTGGGTAGTGGGAGAGAGATAAGGGGAACTAGTGGACCATAGCCCTCCCAACTTTTTAATTTTATTTTAATAAAACATAAGAGTTATATATGTCCGGCCCCACTAAAATATATTTTGTATCTATAATATATTTAATATTAAACATAATATTACTTTCCTTTTAATAAATATAAAAATATTACAATAATATATTATTCAAAGTTGAAAAATTCTAGCATCTAAAACGTATGTGTAATATATAAATATAATATAAAATTTACTACTAGAAAAGAGGAAGGTTGCCAATTTTAATTTAGGGTATATAAATGTCAAATATACTTTGTCTTGTTTGTGCAGTTTTACCTCTAAGTTTTGAAAAGTTGCTGCCACTGTTCACAGCTTCAAGGCCATTAGGTACGTGTATGCCTTTTGTCTTCTTTCATGTTTTTTTTTTTTTTGTTTGCTTGCATGATATTCCTTCTTTTTTTTTTCTCCTCCACCATTCACTTCTTCAAGGCAATTAGGTGTGTGTATGTGGTGTGTCTTGTTATATGTTGTTTTTGTTTGCGTGCTCTATTCCTTCTTTTTTTAAAAAAAATTTTTTTTCTCTTTTTTATTGAATCAAAGAACTTGACTTGGCTACCCCTACAATCTCATTTTCTTAAGCCCTCCAATTAAATGAATGCGAGGATAAAGTTGAGGTGAGCCACTTTAATTTCCAATATACTTTGCTTTTTCAATGTTTAAGATTTTATTGTGCAATTTGTGTTATGATTTACAATTCTTTTTATATATATTTAATATATTGTGCAATTTGTGTTATGATCTTGTGGTTTTTTTATTCATCCTAATATTTTATATAATATAATTTATAATCTATAGCATTATCTATTGCAAGGAGGACCTAACCATTATCACAAATTCTTAGGTGTAGCATTATCTAAATTTTCATCAAACTATCTCATTAAATTAGAGCAAATAGATCACTTATGTGGAGAGTTAGAGCATGGAAAATAGGACATAATGTGGGAAAATAAATTGAAAAGAAATCAGAGAAATAAATCTTATAGAGGCAGAGTTGCGTGAAGATAACAACAAATAAAAAAAGAAAGAAAGAAAAAAAATATACCTAGAGCTAGTGTCAAAGAGACAATTGTTTTAGGAGAAGAGAGAAGAGGAGAGGGGCAGCAGGAGAGACGAGAGACCGAGGGACAAGAGTTGTGTGGGTCTTGCTGGCATGAAGCTGCTCAATCATGAGTGGCTGGGATTCATTGACACAAAGAGCTGCTGAGAGACAAAGACACAAACAGAGCTGAGAGACAGAGAGGAAGGGAGTTGCGATTGGGTTTCAGGCAAGGTAATGGAGATAGAGAGAGAAAGGGAGGGAGCTAAGAGACACAGAGACAAAGAAAGAGACAAAGAGGGAGGAAGTTGAAAGACATAGAGATGGAGACGAAGACAAACAGGGACTATCTGTTTTGAAAAAAGAAGCTAAGACAAGGCACGAGGCTCTAAAAATTAGCCTATTCCATGTCACCTATCACTAGAAGGGGATGTGGATTTAAGAATCAACTTCTCCCATCTCACATGTGATGTGGATTCTTTAGAATTTACGTCCCTAATGACATGGGTGATGTGGATTCTTAGAATCCATGTCCCCATCCTCTCAGGGTGACGTGAATTCTTTATAATCCACATCCCCCTCCTCTTTGGGTGACGTGGATTCTTAAAAATTAAAAGAAATATCTTTTTAGCATCCACATCCTCTATTTTTTTGGGTGATGTGGATTGTGTTTTTTTTTTAACTTACATTTTCAAAATGTGATGTGAATTAGCATAGTAAAAGTGCCTTTTTGTAGTAGTGAGTATAGGCCCTGACATTGTTCTTGTAAAAGATAAAGCGATGACAAATCATTTGAATTAACTTCACTTATTTGAATGGACTGACATTGAGCACCTTATTGATAATAGTAAGCATATATTATGATGTGACAGCCTTTTCCAACTTGGTTGAGCTGCATATAGATGATTTGGGTGTGAAAGAATTATATTCAGGTCATATGCTTTCTAGCTTCCTAGTCTTTTCTCAGCAAGTTGCATATTTTAAAATTAAATGAATGTAAGAAATTGCATAACATATTCTTGGATAACAATCTCCAACTACCTTGTTTGAAGGTCTTGGAATTGCAATATTGTCCAATGTTCCAATCATCAATTTTCCAACCCTTTGTTGCTCAAAGTCTGGTGCGATTGGAAAGATTAACAATTGATGAAGGTTGTGAGAAGCTAAGACAATTAATTGCTTATGAGAGAGCTTGGGAGAAGAAAATGTTGATAATGTTGATGCTAAGAAGAGTTATAGCTTTCCATTCCCAAAGTAAAAATATCTTCAAATTGGAAGATGTGATAAAATCTTAGAATTTATTTATTTTTAAAAAAATAAATTTTTGTACTTTCTCAACCGGTTAATTTGAAAACCAATTTGAATTTTTTTAGGAATTTTTTTAATTTTTTAGTTGCTTATCTTGACTAGTTTTATTGACACCCGATTTAGAAAGCTTTTAATATTTTTTTGATTAAAATTTAAATAACTTTCTAAACTGGTTATTTGTAGAAACTAGTCTAGAAGTCTTTAAAATATTTAAAAATATAATTTGTAATTGCTTTCTAACCAGTTATTGTGTATAACTAGTCTAGAAACACTTTAGAATTTTTCAAAAAACCCTCACATTAGTTCATTTTCATTATAGATCATATTTGCTCGCACGTCTCCCTCTCACTCGATATCTTACGAACGACTGGCTAAATCAAAGTCTAAAACCACCTTCACATTGTGCTCCATCATCTTTGCCTTCTCGCTCCCTTCTTCATCTTCTCCCACCCTAAACTACCCCATTTTTAAACTTGAACCAAGCTTTAGATTAAACCTAGAATTGTAGAGCTTGAAACCTAGAATTGTGCTTGTGCCTAGGTATTTTGTCTTCTCCCTCCCTCCCTCGTGCTCATGTGCTCCAACTGCTTCACCCAAATTTTTTTGTTCTATTTTCTAAATTCTATCATGCATTTGGTGTTCATTGTTTTTTCATTTCAATTTATCTTGTGGGTAGCTTTAAGTCTTGCTTGTGGTTGCCTTTGAAGCTTTAATCCTTACTTCCATGTCCTGCTTTAAGCTTTATAGGTACTTTGAGCTTTGTTTTGGTTTAATTTGTGGATTAAATTTCGTGAGCTTCATTTTGAATTTGCTTCTGTGACTTTTTGTGAGCTTGATGTTTATTTTAAATTAAAAAAAAAGAGCTTGTGAGCTTTAGTGATTGAATATTCTTGACTATGCTTTGGCTTGATTGTTTGATTATGTTTAATTTTCCATATTTGATTGGTTAATTTTGATGGCTGAAACTAATACATTTTTCTAACTTAAACATAAACTTGATTGGTTAGTTTTCCATATTTGATTATTTACTAAAAGTGAAACCATCTAAACTTAATTGTTTCAATGTTAAATTTTGTTAGCATGATTTTTGAATATTCACATTGCTCCAATGTGTTAGCAATGATCAGTGTATTTTTTGTAATTTGGTGGAGTACTGGTAGAAGAGGCCAAAGGTTCTTAAGGATTGCATGACTAGTTTTTTTTTTTTTTTTGTCTCCTAAAATTGTCAGAAAGTGATATTGTCAATTGTAAAATTATTGAAAAGGTGAACTTTTAGGGGATACTTTGCTGAAATTTTTTTTAAAATTATGAGTGTTAGCTAAATTTGTTTGAAATTGTTAGCTTAATTAGTAATAAGCTTTTTGTTTGGATTAATATAACTTAGCCTTTGTGAATTGAATTGTTAAATTTGCTAGCCCTTTCCTTTCTTAGTTTGTTGGCTTAGCTTATTGTGCTTCTATGATTGGTTTATTTTTTGTGATCTGGTGGAGTGTTGGTAGAGGAAGTCAGAGGCCCTTGGGGATTGCATGATTGGTTTTTTGTCTTTTAAAGTAATATTTTCAATTGTAAAATTATTAGAAAGTCCAACTTTTAGGGGGGACTTTGTTGATTTTTTTAAAAAAACTTATTATTTAGCCCCTTCCTCTATATGAAAAGGTCTAAAGAATTTAAAGTTGGCTTCCCTCGTCCTCCCACCTATTAGACAGGAAGGAAGCCAACTCTAAAGAATATTTCTCATTTTCCTCCAAAAAATTACAAATTTCCAACTTAAATTGGAAATTTTGGGAATGAGCGATAATAATTTCTCAACTTTTTTTCATTTTAAGAATTTAACCATGGATCGAAGTTAGATAAATGCTAAATGATATACCAAAGAATATGATAACGGGGTAAAGGGGTTTTTGGACTTTGCTAAAAGGGATGCCAAACATAATAGTGAGAAGTTTTATTGTCCATGTGTGGATTGCTTGAAAGAGAGGCCATTAAAAGCCATAGAAATATACACACATTTGATTTGTGAGGGATTTTGCAAAAGTTATATAGTATATATATGGCATGGTGAAGAAGTGAAAAGGTTGAGGTCAAGTACATCACAACAGTGGAAGGTTGATGATGGTGATTATGATATGGAGGATTGGTTGGAGGACGGGATTAGCTAGTTTTTATTTGCAGGTTATATGAAAAATTTGCCCTAAAAAATATGGGGTTGTAAATGAAACAAACAAAACAATAAAAAAAAGATTAATTTCTAAACCGATTAATGTTATAATGATTTACAAAG